TCTGAAGCCAATTTCACTAAAATGCTTGGCTTACAAACCTTACAAAGAGCCACCAAAGCAGAAATTCTGTACTAAAAAACTGGCAGATGTTTTTTCTCATCTAATTAAGGGAACTTCAGAATTGCACTACGTGGTTTGCTGAGTTGTTAGCATTTATTAAAGGCTTTATAGGCACGCTGCTGCCAGACTTCAGGTATAACCAAATGTTCCCTTGCTTTCCCTGGAATGCTAATTGACTAGCAGCACAGCATGAATGGTGAAAGTATGTGCTTCATTTAACTAATCTTCAACTCAAAAGTAATCTCAAAAGGTTATTAGATCTTGTGTCATTTGGAGCATTTTAGGACAAACTAGCCAACTGCATTTTCATTGTTTTGTGAATAGAATAAAATAAAAGGATCTGTTCAGATAAATCCAATACAAGCAGTAGGAGATTTTTTACATAGGCTAAACCAGCACCAATGTAGCTGAAAAAGAAATGGAAAATGGTTTAGGCACACATTTGCCTAATGAAGGTGGATAGTTATTTATTAGTACATGCACATCTGCTCTGTAAAAGCTAGAGGGCTTTTGATTTTATGTTGATATTTTTTATAACTAAGGATCTAGTGTTGCCATGAGAACTATAAGTGCCCAATATGTTCTGTTTGTTATAAAGAAATGACTTTCAGTTGTGGGAGACAGCTTGTTATGAAATCATGATGTACATGGAAAATTTTCTTCAAGAATTGTGAGCCGTGATTATTTGTGGAAAGTGTGCAAAAGGTATTTATGCTACAGAGGGGGAAGATTCCTAACAGGTCCTGTTATTTCTGACACAGGTACAGCACTTCAGTTGATGTTTGTGAGCAACACAGCCTTAACCCTAACACTTTTGCTTTGGCTTTATGACATGGGAATGTTCCCTCAGATGCATAGTGCAGCAACCCCTGTTAGAAATCTCTACAGTTGATATGCTGCAGCTTTCCAGTTCTAGGAGTGAGTGGGTTTTTTTCATGTGTTTTTTTTTTTTAAGTTTTTGTACATTCCATCTTTGTAAGTCAATCTCATATGTTTTGTGTATATGTAAGCCTTGCACTCTCTTGAAACTCATAATGAAATATTCTTCTCACTTGTTGTTTTTTTTTTATTGTTGTTGGTTTTGGTTCTTTTTTTTTAATCCCTATGAGGCTAAATACAACCTTTTTCTCCTTAAGGTCAAGGATGAAAGATGTGTATCAAAGTGTTTGTGTGTGTGTGTGTGTAGTTTTAGCTTCCTGTGTGCCACAGTATTCTTGATGCTTTAGCCAACAATTAAAAAAAAATTACTCTGTCTTGGAAATGTAGGAAAACCAGAGTCAAATGTGTACCTTTACCACGCACAAAAATTTCAAATAATAAAAATAAAGCTTGTTTCCTCCGTTATTTTCATGGTTGAGGATTTATTTCTGATATGTCTCATATTCACTGTCTGTAAAAGTAGCTCCATAATGCAGGAAGACAGGTAATTTTTTCCAGTTTTTTTCCCTGACACCACAGGTCACAAGAAAACTGATTTTTTTTTCATAGATGTTAGGCTTTTACGTAGACACAGAGGAGAGAGGGACTTGAGTTGTTCTTGGGAAGAAGGTGGAGAGTTGGAGCTTCTTGTCTCCTCCTTTCCTTCTTCAGTCCAGTAATCAAAATTAACATTTTCACTGGTGGCAATAAGATTATGAGTCATAAACTTTTCCATTTGCATCATGGAAGTATACAGTACCTTTTAGCTATGCTGCGCTATCATCTTTCAAGAGTCTGCTGCAGAAAATCAAATATAAATTATTGTGGAAGAACAGAAAATTTGCCTTAGGAGTTCAATCTGACTCTGTTCCTGTAATAACAAATTTTCAGTTCATGTTAACTTTCATTTTACATAGTACCTATGTCTTCTTTGTCACTGGTGAACTCTCCAAACCTGAATCATTTGAGAACTCAGTGTGATTGGCAACCTGCTCACAAAGATAAATAGAATCTTCAGATGTACCAGTTCCTTGTTCCTTAGGCTGAAGTTTTCTCTCACATCCAGCTGTGCTGCTCTGCAGTTAACTATGCCCACAGTTTTGCTGACAGTTAATGTGAATGCTGCCTAATTTGGACCAGCCAAAAGTATCTCAGTGACTGGAACAATTAATGTAATTTCTGTGGACAGATGTTCTCCCTAGGCAGGCCCCAGCTGTGCTGGTGGAATAGATACCTACCACTTGCTACTCATTTGCTACGTCCAGTTGAAGACCACTGCCCCTCTGATCTGTTGGCTGAGCTAGGCATGTGAATGACTTGTTCTTTCAGTGAAATGCCTAGTTACCAAAAACCTAGTATTTAAGCAACTCATCTCAATGCTAATATTGGTAATGCTTACTTCAGCAGCTCTGCCTAGCAAAGCTGTGGAAGCTGTCAGTTTTGGAGGAGGGCCAACTAGCATTTCTCACTGGGTTAGATGTTTGTAGGGAGAACATCTGCTTACAGTCCAAATGCTCATTTGAGGCTGAAATGAGGCAGCAGATGCTGCAGAGACTGGCCTGTATGGGATACTCATGGATCCTATTGTTTCCTGATAACTGGTCACAGCCCATGACTGACTGCTTGGACCTCAGAGAAGTTGGTATGACCTCCCATGGGTGAGCATCTCTTAGAGCTCTCCTTGTCCTCCATGGTTAAGCTCTACTGCTGTCAATCATATGGGTGTTGTGGGAGGCAGCCACAGGACTCAAAAGGCTTGCTGTTACACTTCTAGAAATAAACTGATCTGCTATTCAACATGAATTCTTCCCTTCGGCTAAAAAAAAAATAGCTCATGTAATTTAGAGACCGCGCTATGGCACATATGGTATGGAAGGAACAAAATTAAAGTAGGACAATTTTTGTTCTCCTACTTCCTAGCCTTCCTGCCATTGTCACTTTAGTGTCCTTTCAAAACAGAATTTCTGAATGCCATTCAACTACAGATTTGTAAGACCAAAGTGGAGGGTACAAATTTCATCTCATCCAAGCATACTTTAACACTGATGAAGCACTGCATTTTGTCTAACTCAGGAACAGTAAAAAACTATTTTGACTGGTACTTAAATGTCTTGGTCAGACACCTAGCATAGAAAATTTAGCCCAAACTGTTAAAGCTCAAGAAAATCACAGGATAATGAGAACAATCTTCTAATAGAAAGGTACAGTTATGAGTCCACTTCCCACAGTGTTTCCATCCATTGTCTTGTTTTTAGAATCATAGCATATGACTAGCAGTTTTGTGAAATACCACATTTAGCCATTCTAAAGCCAATTAAAAATGTCAGACTTTTATATATTTTAGGAATCATTCATTCCACTTTACCCAGTAACAGAAAACCACTCTCAAATGACACAGCATGAGATACTACTGTGTGTTCTCCTTCTGTTTGAGACTTCTTTCACCCCATGGTCTTTCAACTAATTACTTTTGAGCTAGTACTGCAAAACGTGGGAGGTGTTAGGAAATCTCTAATTACAGAGCAAATTCGACCCAGTAATGTGGCCATGAAAAAGCTTCAGAGCTGCCAGTGCAGTCAGGGTAGCTGAGAGTGGCTGTCCCCAGGGGGCATGGACAGAGAAAACCTGCCGATACCCACCATCGCCTGAGAGCATGACCAGTGTTTCAGAGACGAATGGGCTGTCTTGGTTGCTGCGACCACTGCTGAAACAAGGAATGCCTTCCAGCTGTGGTTCCATGTGTGCGCTCCAGCCATGTACTGGCTCTACCTGGGGGAGTGACCCAGGTGTTTGCTGACAGTCTACTTTCAGGTGTAATGGGGAGATGGGAGCATTACTGTCTCACACATGCTGATCACAATACACGAGGTACATGCCCCAAGCCCACTTCAGAGTGAATGACCCTATGAAAACCCCTCCTCCCTCTCCTCCTCCTCTTCTGCATGTTCAGCATGTTCAGCTCTGACACCCACTCTGCTACTCACATGTGTCACTTGGAGAAAACCCACACGGCAAAAAATGTTGCAGTAACCATTTGTTTGGCAGCAGTTAAAAATTAGAGCAGAGCTCAGTTTTATTTCAGGCTGTGAAGGAACAGGAAGGGGCCCACGCCCTCGGGCAGCAGAGGTGAGTGTGACAGGAGGAAAAGAACTGTCACAGGGAGCGTGGGGACATACTTTAGGGGCTGGCCAAAGGAAGGGAAAAGCAAGGAGACAGAATATGAGCCCTCACAGCATATGAGGAGGCGTACCAACAGATTTCATTGCAAGCTAGTGAGTTGAAAATGTGCTGCACAAGAGAGAGTGAAAAAACAAGCAGCTTTGTGTTTTGTATGAACCTTAAGCTTTGTATTAATAACATTCTTTCTAACTTGCATTTCGTTTTTAGCGATACACTGGTGCACACAACGAGGAACAGGATCATGGGTCAGGTCTGCATGGAAAAGAACCTCAGGTTTCAGGGACCGGGGCACCTTGCAAAAGGCATAGAAAATCTTCACAGAGACTGCCTGAACATCTCAGCTTGCATGTTTTTATTTACTTAAACTCTACAATTAGTATGGCAGATATCAACCCACTGCTGTTGCAATTTCCCATAAATCCTGTAGCTGAAAGAAAGTGATTTACAACACAAATGATAATTAAAACAAGATGCAAGTAATTAAAGCCGCTAGAACAGTCATCATCTCAATGAACAACTGTTACATGCAACACCAGATGTGCCCAGGCCCTTCACTTTCACGGTCAGCAAGGGTTTTATTTCTCCATGTCCTGCGGTTCCTGTGACAGGCCAGCTGTACAACACACGTCGTTTCAGACCACCGTTACCGCGTTCTTTTTGTCCCCTCGGTTTTATTCTATGGCGCCATCCAGCTGGTAAAAAAAAAAAAGAAAAAAAGAAGATAAAACACGGGCACTTTAGGAGTGGCCTTAAAACGATGTGTGTTGTACAACTGCCCTGTGACGGCCGCCTCACGGCCGCCCGCCCCCCTGCCTGCCTCCCGCGGCTCGGCGCCCCGGGACAGCCGGGAGCGAGGGGCGGGCGGCAGGCGGCGCTGCGCACGCGGCCTACCCACGGCCTCTTCCCGCCCGGCGGCGCCGAAATCAAACCCCGCCATGGTAAGCGGGGCCGCCCGCCCTCCTCCTCCCGCGCTCCTCGGCCACTGCCGCAACCGCGCCCGGGCCGGGCGGTCGCTGAGGCTGCGGCGGCTGCTGAGGGAGCCGCACCCATGGGGACTGCCACTCGGGGCCGCGGCAGGGGGCGTGTGACGGGCGCCCGCGCCCCGCTGTCCCTCCGCCCCGGCGGCCGCTGAGGGGAGCGGGGCACCGGCTCCGGGCAGGCACCGCGGCTCCCGATAAGCTCCCACGGCGCCGGGTCGGGGGGCGCAGCGTCAGCACGGCGTGGGCTGTGCCTTTGGCCTGTTGAAGGGCGATGGAGAGTCAGGCGGCAGCTGGAGCAGTAGCCATAGCCCCGTGACAGAGGCTCGGGGTGGGCGCGGCGCCCGCTGATCCCCTTGGGACCCGGGGGCCCAGGTGTGAGCAGGCTGAGCCTCTGGCTGCGGCTGTGGGGAGGTGGGAGCGGGCAGAGCGTGTATCGCAGGTGTGCTCGAGTGGCGCTCACAGCACCGCACACCCGCCTCTGCCTGCGGTAGCGTCAGCGACGGCTAAGGGGACGCGCCTGGTGCGGTCTGTATTTGTGGTGGGGAGCACCTGCCAGCCGCGTAGGAGGGAGAAATCGAGGTGAAAGTTAATAACATTTATTTGGAGCGCGCTTTGATTGGTTGCTTCGCTCTGTTTGTTGGAGCGCGGATGTGAAACTTGGCGCCCGAGCACGTGCTTTCAGAAAGGCCGCTTCGATTCACGTCATGCACGTACAGGTTTTATTCCTCTGGCTGCTGACGGTGTCAGGGCTCTTTGGGAAGGCAGGGAGATGGAAGTTAATCAGTCTGCTTTCCGTTCATGCTCCTACTCGCATGTATGTGGCGACTCCAGGCTTTAATCCTGCAATGTAGTGACATCGTAGGAGACAGTTGTGACATCAGTGCTGGCATCGGGCATCACTGGCTAAAGCAGAAGGGAGGAGACTTAAAAAAAAAAAAGTAGTGGTGCTTTTGTTAAATATAGTATTGAATTGCTTCTCTTCCTGTCTCTGTTATTGTAGCTTCATAAGCTACATTTATTTTTTAAAATTAAGTCAGTCTGGCCGGTTTGCTCTTGGTGCACGTTTTAAATGTTGTGCTGCCCTATCATGTGATTTATTTAAGAAGGAAGCAGCTGTTAAAAGTAGAAATGGTATTGACTCCCTTCTGTTGACACTTGGAAACATAACCATGTCTTTCTCAAAGCATCATGTTATTAGAATGCCCACTTCCATTGACTCAAGGGTGATAATATATATGTCTTTTGGCTTTTTTTAAACGAGACCTTTTTTTGCCAGCAACCTCTGGTGTTCTTTCTATCCCTCTTTCAATTTCTTGTAGCCACACACAGCTTGTGAAGTAGGGAGTGGGGCAAGGGGAAACTTTTTGGATTCACATTATGGCAGTTGCTTTCAAGTTGTTGTGGACTATGCTAAATGCTATTAATAAAACTCCAATTCTCTGTGAAATATTTTATATCCTAATTTTACAAGGGGCATGTCAAAATACCATTTCTGAAAATCATCAGAGGAGACTATTTCTCAGTTTGGTATTGGTGGTAGCAGTTTGTGAGTAGCCATTTCTGCCTTTTGCTTCAAGTTCAACCTATGTTATTTACTGCTTGGTCACACAACTGCAGAGATAAGAAATAAACGAAGCAAAGCTTTTAAAATATGACCTTGAGATTATAAAGTTTGGTAGGACATTTGAAGAAATATATACCTCAAAATGCTCTTTATCTCCTAAAAAAAATCTTAACGGCCTGCATCTCACAGTACTGTGTGTATATTAAAAGCTAGAAAACAATTATTAAAAAAACTTCAAAAGATATTCCTTCTTTTCTAAGGACTGTTAAACATTTGCGTGCGTTTGGTATAAATACACACTTTGGGATTGGTATTTGTCAAGAAACCTTGAATATGGAGCTGGATTGGATTGTGTGAAAGGTCAGTTCCAAACTTAGAAGGTAGGTTTCTCCATTTAATAGATTGCAGGTGGATGAGCTTGGTGTAGTGACCAAGAAGAAGTAGTTTGCAAAGAAAGCCTGGGGTTAGTGGTAAGGTATTTTAAAGGATGGAGACTATAACTTAGAGGTAAATAGATTTGAATTCTGAGCAGCTGTTAATTATTCAAATAGCTGAATTTTTTTTTCTTTTCGTTGTTCTAGTCCAAGAAAAAAGGTCTGAGCTTTGAGGAGAAGAGAGCTCGCATGATGGAGATCTTTTTTGAAACAGTAAGTAACTTGTAATTATCCTGCATTTACATTGGTGGGAAAACATGTCCTGAAAGGAGCTTAATGCAGATGAACTCTGTATCCCAGTATGGATTTCACTGATGCCCTGTATCATCAATTAATAAATTACAGGCACGAAGTTTCCTTCATTTATCTTCTAATCAGGTGGATCATCTCCTGGTGGAGCCAAGGCATGAACATGCACAGATGTGTTAAAATCTTTATGTGCTACCTATGCACATTGTCTCTTTTTGAGTCTGTTACCATAAGAGGGACAGTAGGAGATTAGGAGGTAGCTCACTGCATTTTAGGGGAGAAGGAAAAAAAATCTGCGTGTTAGAAAAGTTGAGAGCAGACCTAGAAGTGGTCCTTGGGGGGAAGAGACCTGGAGATACAAAAGCAGAGCTTCAGTGGTATTGGTGGCATATGTTATCCACCGTGTTTCACCTATTAAAAAAAGTACTGTGACCCGAGTACTTGAGCAATGTGGTGCATCTGGTGCTGGCAATCTGACCTGGGCTCTGTGTGCCCTAAGGGCTTTATGGTCTAACTAGGCAAAATATGGTGACTTTACAGTACCAAAGGAAAGAACAGGGCTTGTTACAATGATAGTATTTTTCTTATTATTTAATTCTCAAGAACATTCCAGTTCTGTTGAGGAATATGCAGCCCATTTCCCTAGCAAAACCAAAACATACAGTGTATTTTCTACTTGCTTTTGTTGGCATTGATTTAGTATAAGAAACACTCAGGCTTAGATGATGCTGTCATTTGGAACTAAATTGTCTTTCATGTTTTGCACAGAAAGATGTGTTCCAGTTGAAGGATATAGAGAAGATTGCTCCAAAAGAAAAAGGGATTAGTAAGTGTTTATAAAAGTTATTTCTCTTGAACCATTAATCATTTTTGGGGCAGGTCAAGTAGCGTAAATTTTCCTGGCTACAATTTTAGGCTTGTGGTTGTAATAATGGAAAAAATATCTAGAATGGGAGACTGGTCAATGGCAGGGCTGTAGTGTTAAAAGTGACATGGGATGAGGGCTTTCCTAGGCTCTAAGTTGCCTGACTTGCAGTGACTTTCAGTGTATGAAATCATTATATGCACTTGGGTTTTAAAGATCTGTCTATTACATCATAAATATTTTAAAATGCTAGTCCAAACATACACCAACAGTGTTCTGTTGAGCTGTTCCCCTCCAAAAATGTCTGGACAGCTGTAGATGGAAGGAGTTTTTCTTTTCAATGAAAGCCTTCCTGATGAGATCCATTGGTTTAGGATTAGGTCCAAGAGGATTTATCTTATGCTGTTGAATTGTTTTATATGTTCCTCATTCTTCTTCCTTCTATGTTCATTGACAAAAGGGGGGCAAAGCAGAATGTTCATGTAGTTACCACTGTCCTTGACTGGCATGTCTTGGTGGCATTGCAAGAGTAAATGAACTTGCTGAAAGAACTGCAGACGTAAATATCACAAAGCTGAGTTTTTCAATTGTGTCAGCAGCTAACAGCACTCATGGGCTTCTGAAGAGATGTGGTGCTGTCTTGATTGGTTTGCAAATGTGTATATTCAGTTGTAATTTGTGGTAAATACAAGCAGTAGAATTTAATATTTAAAAATCAACTGTAGAGTTTCTAAAACCATTAACATCTTTGAATAATCCAAATTCATCCAGCCTCTGCATATGAAGGCATTTAGCCACACAACACAAGCCCCAGTTACTCTGAAAAGAAAAATGACTAGCCTGTGGAAAGGCCCCGTCCTGGCATCCAACCTTTGGCTTCCAAAACATAGATTTTGATCTGGGATCCCTTTTAGACTAGAAATTGAACATCAAATACCAAAACCCATAAATGAGCTCAAAAGTCTTTATATCTTCAACACTTGAGGATAATATAACGATTTTGCTTTGTTAACAGGCATCATTTTTTAAAATGGTGACTTATACCACAGATTTGCTAAAAAATGATCAATTATGTTCAGAAACACTTTGGGTCCTTGTAACTGCAGGTGAGGTTCTGTATTGGAACAAAATCAAGAGTACAATCTGTCCCTCCTGAGTCTGTAGACACATGGCTTTAGTACCTCTGCTGCTATTAAATGCTTTGATAAGCATTACAAAGTGAAATGTAATTACACTCCTAATCAAGAAATTGTAAATTAATCCATATTAAAATTAAGATTGCAGGACAACTGAAGTACCTCTCATGGGTTTGTTATGGTATTGTACTGTGCTATGCATGTATGTTGTATGATACTCATGAGTGGTGTTTTGCAAATAACTGTTAGCAGATGTGCAGAATAGCAGTCTTTAGGAACAAACTGCTGATTTCAAAGAGATTCATGCTTTCAAGGGAAGCTTCTGGCATGATGGGTGTCCTCTTGAAATCTTCTAGCTAGCTGACTAATATTAGAGTAAAATATTCATACAGGTGATTATAGATGGTGGGTTATGTATTCATAATTCTCCATAGTTCAGATGCTATGCAGTTCTAATTTGATATTTTTGCTTTTGTTAGCCTCGATGTCAGTGAAGGAGATTCTGCAAAGCCTAGTTGACGATGGCATGGTGGACACTGATAGAATTGGAACTTCCAATTATTTCTGGGCTTTTCCAAGTAAAGCTCTTCATGCCAGGAAGCGTAAATTAGAGGAGTTGGAGTCTCAGGTAAATTTATTTTATGAAAAATACTTCTTTATCTGAATGGGTTTGCTTTTCTTATGCCCCCTGATCATTCTTGTTTGTATCTCTTGTGTACAAATGTACATGCCCACACACAGAGATTTTTACTATAGGAATTATCTGTCACACATGGTAGGATGTTCTCATTATCTTACTGTCACATGAGAAAAATGTTGGAAGTTCTTGTTGGAGCTTGAGAACACTTTTTATCTACTTGGTGCTGGACGTATGTTATTCATGATGCAAAGTGTCATTTAAGGACTCAAAATATTTAGGTAGTGTATGGTTTTGTGTCTCTTACATAATGTAGGCCATCCTGTGGTAATAATGTAAAAGTCATGAGTGCTGAAATGCATAACCTGAGTAAATGTGGCAGTGGTTTCTCATTATGGCCATTGTGCTTTCCTCTCTGCTTTATCTATGGCTTAATTTGTGAGCACTTCTGTAATCCCATACTCTACTTTTAGTAGGAAAGAAGAGCAAATTGGTCATGAATCACAGAATCAAAGAATGGCTGAGGTTGGAAGGGACCTCTGGAGACCATCTAGTCCAATTCCCTGCTGGAGCAGGTTGCACATGATCACATCCAGGTTATAAGAGGAGACTCCACAGCGTCTCTGGGCAGCCTGTTCCAGTGCTCTGACACCCTCGAAGGAAAGAAGTTTTTCCTCTTACTTACATGGAACTTCCTATTTGTGCCTGTTGACTCTTGTCTTCTCACTGGGCACCACTGAAAAGAGTCTTGCTCCATCCTGTAGACACCCACCCTCACAGTCATCTCCAGATGCACAGGCCCAGCTCCCTCAGCCTTTCCTTGTAAGAATAGTGCTCCAGTCCCCTCATCATCTCCATAGCCCTCTGTTGATCCTATCCAGTAATTGCTTGTCTTTCCTGAATTGGGCAGAGCACTCCTGATGCAGCCTCACCAGGGTGGAGTAGAGGGGAAGGATAGGCTCTTCTGCAGAAGAGCAAGGCAGTCTTTTGTTACAGCATTGCTGTTCTATTGGTCTGGTTCTTAACTACTTCTTAGGAACTGTCTTTCTTGCTTCTTCTAATGGGAGTGGGAAAGCATGTGTTTTTCAGTTTATTTGCAACGGGAGTATACGATAACAAGATCAACAAAATAGATTTATGAGACCATGTGTGATTGCACCACAACACTGCCAAGTTTTCCCGTGCTTATTTAGCATTATAGTCTTTCATCAAAAAATCATTTGAATTAATGCAAAATTATTGGTAGCATCTGAACATTTTTACAGACTTTATTTTCTTCAGTCATAGCTCTGGTATCATCATTGCCTTCTTATGTGCAGTGTTGTCAACTTCAGCTACTTCATTATATTTATACAATTATATCAAGATAATTTAAAAAAAAAAAAGTGTTTTTCCCCAGCTTGAATTGAAAAAGGAGTTTGATTTAACTGGATATAGTTGCACTGTTTTCAAGGATGGACTTAATCTGGCACTACTGAGCTTAAATTAATTTTTATGAACTGGTAGTAACAATGCACTGATTCTTACTCCAGTGAAGTTTCATCTGTCTGAAACAAGAGATTAGTTTAACTCTGCACTGACTTGGAACTGAATTTTCTAGCAAAGTTACTCAACTTACTAGTATATTCATGAAAGTTTTAGATCAGGCTGTTTACTCTGCCAGAACATAAATGCCACCTGAGCAATTGAACAAATACATGCCAGAATTCTGTCTCTGTTCACCAAAGGGTCTGGTGCCACTGTCTTGTTCAGTGCAAATGATTTGCTCTTGTGAATTTTCTGTTGTTGCTCATACTCCATATTATACTCAAGTAGCTGAATGAAGGAGTTGGTTGGTTCTCTTTGCCCTTGGGCCTAGTCCCATCATGAATTTCAAAGATAATTGGTCAAGCAGGTCTCTAGCATACCCTGATGAATGTCTTGCAGAATCCAGCTAATGTGTTCCACCATAAATATCCTGGCTTTATCTACAAAAATATGCTGTACTGCTTTAAATGTACTTTTACATTATTAAACACAAAACCATCTATTATTGTGGAATTATAATAAGCATGTAGTTACTGTATTGTAACATCATTTTATGATTATTTCTGTGTAGGAAGTAAACCATGCTGATATGAACAGTTTTGCAACATAAAACTATTAAAAAGAAATATTTTTTACCAGACCCTCATTTGCAAACCAAGTCCTGCTCCTTGCATGTGGGTTTATTGGTATAAGAGCTCTCTTTAGACCACGTTATGAGTCTTGTAAAGTACTTCTATTCATTACCTCGCTTTTCTGATGAGACTTGAAATGTTTCAGCATTTCAGGGAAAAGCATTTTTACTAGCTGAACATAACTTTCCTGCTGACACAATGGAAAGGTGGCATTTTCAATGAATAGCTCTCTGAACATTTTTACAAGATGATAACAAATTCTGTCTGTGAGTTCAAATTAGCTGTTTTGGTGTTTGTAGTCTTCTTGATGTGAACACATACAGATTTTCTTAAGGGTTTCTAAACCCAGTCACCGAGTATCACAAAACTTCCTGTCAGAACATGTAAAGCAGAAGAAAAAAGTCAGCTGTTTTACCATTTCTGTTGCATGTTGCCTTTGATCATTCCTGTATACAGCTTTTGGCATGCTGAGAAATATGCTTTGTTTCTGTGTCTTGTCCAGATTGATTGGTAACTGTGTGAGTTGGTCTCCTTCTTTAGCAGTTAAAAGCCAGAATCAAGCTGCCTTACTTAAAGCATGTTAAAAAATCCAGCAGTTCAGTTCATACTGCAGTTAATGCTTTCTAGCAGGAGACAATATCTTTGTTTGCTGAGGGTAAATAGTGAAGGGAAAGGAGTGATCCCTAATGCTGAACTAAGACATTTGAAAATAATTTGGAGGAACAGAACAATCTTCTCCGTGATGCAAATCCTTCTATTAATTCATATCGCTGAGGCTTAGGTTTGACAGGTTGGGCCTGCTACAGGACCTTTTGCCTGCATACATTGGTACTTCAGCATGTTCTAGACAAGTTGCTCATAACATTCTGTATCTTACAGAACTTGTGATTGTGGGGAGGCTGGTTTGGGAACTGTTCTTGAAAGAGTTCTTTTGTTTCAGATTTTTTAGTGATTAATAAGCCACACCCCAATTTACTCAGTAGCAAAGAAGTCTGACTCAGTATTCATGATGAAGAGCAAGCCAGTTTTGCCCAGATGTTTGAAGTTGCACTTCACAGGGCTTCTGGTATACCCTAGATTTTTTTTCTATAAGGATATATGACATCATTAGTGTGATCCCTTTGTGCAGCGATATGACAATTAAAAATAATGCTAAAGTTTCTTGACAGCTCACCTCCCTGACCCCATCTTTCAGCTTGCTTTTGTGGGGGCAGGTGTTTGGAGAGGGGCACTAATCCCTGAACTTATATATGTGGCAAACTTGTGCTGATCTAATTAGGTTTAGGATCTTGGTGCTGCCCTCTAACCCAGACTTACTGTTTGGACTTCTTCCAAAAGCAAGGACAGCAGATGCTTCTGCTGCTGTTTTCTCCAGTAGCTCACAGAGTAAGAGAATTGCTAAGTAGGTGCCTGTGGAGTTTGTATTGATTTATTTTGCAGTGACATGGCTGCTTTTAAAGGTTTATGCCTTCTGCCAGATGCTTGTTCTTCATCTCTTGGTTATGCTTATGCAGCTGTGAAGGGGACCACTGAAAAAGTGAAAGAAGTTGGAAGTTGCATTGTAGTTGGATGGGTTTATACACACATTTGGTTTGTTTGCATGTGGAAGTTGCATTTAGTTAGATGGGTACAGCTATGAGATGGTGAAACCATAGCAAGGGTGTGGACTGAGAAATACTGTTTTAACAATGTTTATAAGTGAAGAAATTTTTAGTGGAACCTCACCTGTCCAGAGAACTGTGGAAGCTTTACTGGCAGGGTGCTTAGGTTGCGAGTTTTTTCCTTTAATAAGAAAAGGATATGGTTTTATTCTTTATCAGTATTTTCCTGTTGTATTCTGAAGCTTTGAATAACCTGTGATCAGTTATAGTTAGATAAAATGAGATTTTATTCTTGGCATAACAATATCGGATGCTTCGGGTTTTTATTAAACTAACAACACCACCTTGACTTACACCATGGAACAGAAAGATCATCATTTATTGGTGATTCCACTGCTTTTTGTTGATTGTGTAGCCTGCATAAAATGAGGAGACTGGATAATGACAGCCATGTTCAATCTTGGGCAAGAGCTGCTAATGTGTTTCATACAATTAGCTCCCTTGCGTATTTGGGGTTTTGTGTTGTTCTGCTGTATGTGTTGTCGCAGAAGGGACATGAATGTGAGGGATATGTTGCCTGCTAAAGAGGAGAAGACATATGCAGCCAAAAACTTGACAACAGTGTTATCAGGTAGGAAATGGCCTATCAATGAGTGAGGAAAAGAGAAACCTTTCTGATGTAGCCTTAGTATAAACAGATTCAGCTTAGATTTTCTTTCATTTTTTCATTTGTGTCTTGGGTAAAACACTTGCAACTGTTTTAGGTGATTTAATGCTGGTTTGCATTTTGCTTTGTAGTGGCTTCAATTAAGCATTAATTGAAGTAACTAGTAACAGTGAGCCTTTGTCTCACAAGGGCTGATGAGTCTGCAGACCACGATCCTCAGAAGCCATGAGGAGTGTCCCATCTCTGCAGCACATTGTCTGCCATAGCCAGTGTGACAGAGGGCATCTCAGCTGGAGTTGCACAGGGCAGGTTTAGTACTGACACGGCAGGGCCTAAGGGAGGCAGAAGCAATTTCAATGGTCCTTGGTGACATTGGAGAGTGTCTGGCATTCAGTATGACAGGCATATATGTTGGAACCATAAGGTTATAGAGGATTGCCATAGCATAATGTAGTACTTTTAGCAGATAGGGACCTGAAATACCAAGTACTTCAAAGATATTGTGGTTGTTAGTGTAACTATTGAGAGTACTGGGAGTACTGTAGTCCAATAGCTTGGGGAAAC